CCAAGTGACATCTTTGCAGTAATTTTAGTGTGCAGTTAAACCAAAAATTCTCAATTATTTTGCTTCAATTTAGTATTTGTGTAGTACATCTTATAAACCACTAGAGGGGACTACCAAACCAGGAAACAATAACTGTTGACTGTATGACAAGGTGTTTGAATGACACCTAGGGTGACCAGATGTCCTGATTTTATAGGGACAGTCCCAATATTTGAGGCGTTTTCTCATATAGAAGCATATTCCCCCGCCCCCCCCATCCTGATTTTTCACACTTGCTGTCTGGTCACCCTAATGACACCAGAGTTTAGAAGGCAGAGAAATGCAAAGTTCAGCTTCTGAGATATGCTTAGCTTGGCATCTGCTTGCTCAGTCAGAAGATGATTTCCCCTTTACTTCACCAGGTACGGCTTCTGTCTATGGACTGCAACAGTCCTGGTCTGAGTCTTGGCTCTGTTAATGGAGTATAGGGTGTGTTGGTTGCACGATGAATATGTGGAGAGTATATTCATCAGAAGGAGAATCTGCTGATTTGTTCAGACTGGCTCTACCATCTGCTGATGACACCAACTCTAGACCCAGGATAGCTCTGATGGGGCTAGGAGATGCTGGGAGCAGGAGTCATGATGGGAGTGCATGGGAAGTGGGCAGAGAAAGGCAGAAGGGACTCTGGCCGATAACTCTCCCACTGTGTGTAGAGAGACATTAGAAAAACTTTCTCCTACCTTACCTGACATATGAGTCCTCTCTGCAGAATGATTGGTCCTGATAAACCACAGTGTTACCAAAGAGTTGCTGTTTTCTGTCTTGAGAACCGAACTAACTAACACTAACAGAAATGTTTTGGAGCTGGTACCGGCAGCTAAAATGGGGGTGGCTCCTTTAGTTTCTCTGACAGATCTCAGAGGACAGCACAAGGTACACCCGCCCCAAAAGGCGTCTTGTGCTGTGTTCTACAAGCTTCAATCTCGTCATTCCTTGACTTTAATGTGCACATGATGCTCATCGGAGAATTCGAGCAGAGGTACAGGCTGCAGTGCCTTGAGCTTGCTTAGAATACCCAGATTGACATCTTCAACTCTTCTGCCCGGGTTGGGTTGGGTGAGCATCTTACCTAGCATCTCTCGGTGTAATAATTGTTCAGAGAGGAGGGCTAGCTTGCAGGTTGGGGGAAGCGATGAGAAGAAATGATGGAGGTGAAATGAGCTCCCTGGATGGAAGGAGGAAGTTTGTTGTTTGTTACTCAGACAAAGTGGAGGTCTTGTTAAGTAGCAGCAGTAGGGGAAGCTGCTTTTTTCTCTCTGAGCTTGTGTGGAAGGATAGGGCCCTTCTTTCGAAAATGGGCCCTACCACTGGTGGTCATGCTTGTGCGCTACACGGGGCTGCATGTTACAGGCGCTGCCTGTAGGTATCAGCGTGGAGTTCAAGGTGCAAAACCCTAATTGGTTTTGGAGCTGGTTACTTGAGACACTGCTTCTTCCCATGCCAGACCCTGCAGTTGTGCTCAGCAGAGGTGCTCAAAATGGAGCTTCCTTGATCTAGACAAGGGAGATGCTAGCAAGGAGGTGTTCTCTAAGAGCAGGTTCTTAACTTGGGAGGTCCTTTCCCTGTCTTGCTCTGACATAGTTCAGACCTCCTGGTTTTCAGGAGATGTGGAAAAAGTCCTCTGTTTTCCTCGGATTTGGGAGAATGAGGGGTATGGAGAGAGCTGGTAATCGTGGGTAGAGGGGAGCAGTGCCTGGGCTTGTCTTTCATACTTTGGTTGGTTACTTTCCGGTTTGGGGTGAGGAAAGACTGCTGGTTTTATCCTTGTTGGTGTGATTGGGTTTATCAAAGGTCAAAAGCAGTAAGGCTCAGATCCTCAAGTTATTTAGGTGCCTAACTCCCACTGAAATCAATGAGAGGCACCAAGTGGGGTTTTCAAAAGCACCCATCTGCATCATTATCTATAATATCTTTTTTTAAGAAAAATCAGGCCCTCAAAGCCTTAAGAGGAGCTCCGTTCTAATATGTACACCCAAATACATAAAAATGAAAATCTGCACTGATGTGAAGAGAGCAGTAGAGCTTGAATGGCAAGGCAAATAGTATAGATTGTGGGGTCTGATCTGCAAAGCTATTCACTGCCAGATTGTTATGGTAAGATAGCAGAGATGTTACAGTGATCTTTCTGGGTCTGTTGATGCTTTTTATTTTTATTTTTTTGATAGATTCACAGGTCAAACAGGACCACTGGGATCCTCTAGTCCTACCTATTTCACGTATGCTATATAGAACTTCCCTGAATTAATTCCTGTTTGAACTAGAGCATATTATTTTAGAAAAACATCCAAGCTTGATTTAAAATTTAAAATATGCCATGTGGTACCAACTTAAATGCCTTTGAGGTCTAAGTACATTACATCAATTAACTTCAACCAAACTAGCCATCTCTCTTTAAAAGAAAAAATCCAGTTAGTTTGACAAGATCTATTTTCCATTAATCTGTGTTGATTGGCATCAATTATATTACCATCCTTTAATTCTTTATTAATCAAGTCCCCATCAGCTATTTCATTATTTTGCCTAGGACTGATGTCATGCTGACAGGCTTATAATTACTCAGGTCATCTTCTTTACCCCTTTTAAATTTGAAACAAAATGAGCTTTTTTTCCAGTCCTTGTACTTCCCCAGGGTCCTAAAACTTACTGACAATTAACATTAATAGGACGGAGAGCTCCTTTTAAAACTCTTGGAGGCAAGTATCTGGGGACCTGATGATTTAAACACGTCTGACTTTAGTAGCTGTTGTTTAACATCCTCCTTAGTTACTGTTGCGTATTGGCTTTAGATGCCTTCTGAACCATTTTTTAAAAAAAACTTTGTGAGGCCATTTTTATGCTCTGAAGGATCTTGTTGGATTTCTCTGTGGAGTAGTTTTAACTCCCTGTGCAAGGTTTTGTAGTTTTTGGACCATGTTTGGTGGTCCTCGTCTCAAAGGAGGTGATGACTACAACTGAGTCTCTCTCCCACTCTCCTGGGAAGGTTGGAAGGTGCAAAGCTCCCTAGGTGTAGCAGAGTGGGGCTCTTCCCCAAACCCATTGCCAAGCATGCAGAGGTTGCCCTTTGTAAGGTCCACACCTTCAAAACCCTGTCAGAGCCCTCCATCTATTTTACTAGATTGTCATCCATGTACAACTGTGCAGTGATTCCTCCTTTCACTGCACCCTTTGGCTGTTACTGAAGCAGTGAGATGGCGCCTGTAGAAATAGCATGGCCAGTGCAAACATGCTGTTGCTTCAGGTGCAGTTTTAGATGTCAGGGAGACTACTCAAAGAGAAAGGTACTGCTCAGCCTGAGTGAGTCGGGATGGGGGTGGGGGGGGGTGGGAATCAAGCCCTAAATGAATAATCTGCTCTTGTCCTGTTGGATTGTCTCATCTTCCCAGATTATTTATATCCTCTTTCACAGCATGTACACAAATACTTAATTCCCCCACAACTCCAGTATACTCTTTGCCCCTGTACAAGTTCTACCCTCTCATCCTTTGCCATATCTTTTCTTTGATTTCCTACCCTACTTCATCCCACTAGAGATTCTTTCAAATGAGCTCTTTTGTCTAATTATTTAAAATAAATGAAATTCATGTCTCTATTTAAACCGACTCTCTTGCTTGCTCCATTGTGCACATTTGCTGTGGGTGGGAACAGCCAGGACTTGGAGCAGGGTAAATGGAAGGGATGGATCACAGAAATGTTACTCAATTTTATATTTCATTGTATGTAGGGAGAGCTCAAGTTTTTGTCTCTCCAAGCTTCAGCCTGCAAGTGAAAGAGTGTTTTCAATGATTTCTCATTACTTCAGTTGAGGGGGGGAGGAGGAATGCAGAAAGCAAAGTGAGTTTGGTTCTACTGTGTTTTAGTTTCACATGCAGTGAACTGGAGACCTGTGTAGGTTGGGCAAGAGAGGAAAATAGTTGTTGTGTGATTCTGTCTTTGTGTCCCATAACACACGTTATTGGCTGCACTGTCTCTCCTGGACCTCCTCCGAAGGTTGTGTGCATGCCGCCTATCACGTCCAATGTAGATGAGAATTTTGCCCTGGCTTAGAATTCCAGCATAATCTGATGTTGGATCTGCCTATCTCTAGGGGTGTTAATATGGGGGAAGACCTTTCAAAGGCACAGATGGCATTCAAGCATTAGTTTTCACTGGTTTTTAATGGCAGTTAGGTGCCTAAAGGCCATTTATGCCTTTGAAATTATCCCGTGGTCTGTACCCAGGCCTGTGGGAGGCCTGCAGATCACAGCACTTAGAAAGCTCCTAGGCACACACAAACAATGGACTAGCTGGGGCCAGTAATGTTATCTGAAAGGATGCAGTAAGTAAAGGTGCTAAGTGCAGTGGTGACTCTGAAGGGGATGGTGTCTGTGGCGGCTGGTCGAGCTCCCTGTTCAGTTCTCTGGAGATGTCGGCTGACTTTGGAGTGGGCCTGCATAGCTCGTACAGAAGTGTAGCAAAGTCAAGGAAGTGCCTTTGTGGCTAGTGGATCTCATTAGGAGACTCCTGCTGAGCCTCTCTCTCCCTCTTGCCACCTTCCCCTTTTCCTTGAGTCGCCTCATAACAGGGTGGGTTGATCTAATCATAATTTCACCAAATGGAAAGTCTTGACTTAAAATCGATGATTTAAACCACATTTCCATTTGACTTCAGTAATTTTCTAAAGAAAGGTGCATTCTCATTGGTTGACAGAATTATTAAAATATGTTGATTTTTCAACTCAATAGAGCCTTTACACTAGCCTTGGTACCTCGTTTTGCTTCCTAGAAGGGAACACTATAACTACACACATTTATTCAAGGAATTGTATAGCTTAATATTTTCAGATTCTTATTAATTGTACGTTTTTTAGTATACTAGAAAATAGTGAATGATTTTTTTTATTTACTAGAGAATTAACTTTTTGCTCATGATTTGTGTCAGGCTACATTAGGATGGAAACTAAAATGTAATTGAACACAAAACAGCATATAAAATATATTTTATTAAACAAAACAACCTTAAATGTTTTGGATACATAAATTTCTCATCAAAACACATTTCACATTTACAGCTAAATGATTTATTAAACAGAAGGATTAACTGTAGTTAGTGAATTAAATTGGTTATTTGGGGTCAGCCTGGGCAAATTTTCAAATATGCCTATGTGAAAGTGACTAGAACTTAAGGTCCTACTTGCCCAAGTCTCTTGAAAATGAGATTGTTTCCTAAATTACTCTAAACTGTCTTTCAAACTTTTCAACTAGTAGATCTCATCCTCTCCCTCCTTACTCTTATTCATAGACTAGAAGACACAGACAAGTTTTTGTGTTGTTGTTTTTTCTCCAACTCCCAATTGATTTCTCAGTTTGGAATGAATGAGTCCAAATAAAGAGAATATTTTTTCTGTACCTGCAGAAGAGGCTACCGCTGTCTAAAACTGGTTTAGCACTTCATCAAAGTCTGGTTCCAGGTGCTTAGCTAGTGATTTCCACCAGTTCAGTGGTGTGACTTTCTTTAAACCATCATCAGCAAACATGTACTGCTTGAATGGTTCACGTCCAGCCCTGAAATTTATTATTGGTATGATTAGTGATACCCCATGTCATAGCAGCTGCTGCTTCTTCAGCAGTTACATATATACCTGGTAATTGGCAAGAAAATTAAGTGCAGTAAGTGCTTGATCCATTTGTTTCTTTACTGCCTGCAATTTAACTTTGTAGTTGAGTATTTCTTTTTTTAATGTCTCAAAGTTCTTTCCAAATTTCAACAACTTCAGCAATACAGCAGTAGTCGTTCTACTGTTTGTTTAAGGCTATGGAAATAGGTATCTGTATTTCAGTACATCATGTATATTCTCTTTAGTCTGATGTTGACTACTTTGGCTATAGTAGTTCCATCTGTTTTGTTGCAATTTTCTTCACAAATTGTCATCAGAATAGGACAATTCTTAATAAATAGCTCAAAACAGTCAACCACTGAATTCCATTGTACTTCATAGAGGAAAATTAGTTTAGACCCTCCTGTTCTCTTTGCTGAAGCGAACTGGTGGTGATGAGAATATTTTGCAATTTCAGCAACGTTTTCTCTTATTCTTGGAGTTGTACGTAAGTCTTTGGCTAAAAGATGCAGCAAATGAGCACTGTACCCATAATGTTGTACGTTTCAGGTTTCCTTCATTATCTTCTAGATTTTGTTTAATCTTTGCTACATTTGCAGCATTGCCTATGACAAAGGTATACACTTGAATTTTTTGTTCACAGTTTATCGATTTTACTGCTGCTTAAATATTCTGCTAAATGCATGTTTCCTGATGGATCAATTGTTTCTGTAAGATAGACAACTCCGTCTTTGTTATCACACAAGCACAGACTACTGGATCATTGTGTACATTGCTCCACCCATCAATTTAATGAATTTCCTGTCAATATTTATTACACACTATTCAGTTTACTTCTTATAGATTGTATCCAGGAACCTTCCAGGGATGTCTGCTCTGTTGGGTGGAGTGTTGACTGGTCGTAATGAGCGAAACTTGTCAATGAAACGTTTGTTCTAAACAAGACAAAAAGGAGGATGTGTTGCAAAAGTGAACCAAGCAATCTTTTCATCTTTGGAGTCTTGCTGGAATTTGCTGGTCCTGATTATTAAGTCATCTAGGGTGTTACCGGATGATGAAGAAAGGCTGTGTGGTGTTTTTTATTACAGGTAATTTACTGTCTGACAAATGTGTAGTTGCCATGCTGCTTGTGGTGTTGGCAGATGACTCTGAAGTTGCAGACGATGGACATTCGTAGCCCCTTATGTGTAACCTGGACTCTGGGAAAAAAATATGGTAAAAAAAAAAAAAAGTCACGGTCACTCCCTTAGTATTACTCAGTGCACTGCTTTAAAAACATGAGATTGTAAATGAAAGATTCCTCTTACTGCAGCTATTTATACCGCTGTTGAAGCAATACAATTAATTCTAAACCCAGTTCATACTGAAAATAATTAATCTAGTGCAAGGATTATTTAAATCTGTTTGAACCCTTATCTCTAGCACCATACCAAACATATTGGGGGAAAAAACACTTTTTATATGTTAAAATTCATAGGTGCCTAATAAAACTTTACTATTAAACAGGAAATCTTCACCTAGGATGATTGCACTATTGAGCAATAAAAAATCACTTCAGAAGTCCAGCAGTATCAGTAAAAATGTAATTGATAAATACTCCCACAACTAATTAACTTACTAATTATATTTTGAACACAAACATTTTGAAGTTCAGAAGTAAGTAATCACCCAAAACACAAATGTATCTTTTAGCAGCATAGTAAGACATGGTGGGTCGTCCATAAGAATGGTGCAAAAATAAGTTTACTAACCAGTTGATCCAGATAGTTCAGACCTGTCCACATCATCTTCAAAGTCATTGCCTCTTGAAGAGCATTTTTCATGTTGTTTTATTCTGACAGCCAGGCCTTGCAGCTCTTTCTTGCACTGCTTACATTTGACACATGTTCCTTTTTACCCAGAGGTACAGGAATTTCTTGAAAATATTCCCCGATAGGGGTCTTTTTTACAACCTGCCCCCATGGCAGGTTTTTTCCTTCAAGTTCCCAGGTGTTGAAATCAACACTAGAGGCTGCACTCTGAAGAATGTTGTCTCTTCTTCCCCTGGTGTCCTGCTTTGGCACCAGTTTTGCTCCTTGCTGGTTGCGCCCTCTGCTCCTGCTCCCTTGTTAAGAACTCCTCTGCCCCCAGAAAAGCACACCAACTACCAGCAATTCAAGGCTTCTGCCCGTAATACCTACATGCCTTTTGCACTGCAGTATTTGATTGTTTAGAGATGGGGGGGGGGCAGTTGAGAAATTAATGGATTTGTGTCTCTCTGCAAGCATGCAAGGACACAGACCAAGGCCATTTACTTGAAGTGACCAGTCACCCAGACACAATGTCTGGTAGTTACTGAGCAATCAGTGTTTTTCCATGAGCTGGAGAGTAAGTGCCCATGGTGGTTAAAGTAAAAAAAATTGTAATTTATGAACTGAGCCAATCAGAGCTCAGGTAGGGAGCCGCTATAAAATAGGAGACTGAGACCACCCAACTGGGCTAAGTGGATGATCCTGTTGGTGTCTCCTAGAGTAAGAAGCTGTCCCCCAATGCCTGTGATGACTTCGCCAATTTCTTGCACCAGCAGCACTGCCTCTGGGTCCCCTACCAGATCAAGCCCTTCATGAAAGACCTATTGTGCCCTATTTATAGAGCTTTGTTTCAAAAGTTTAGATGCTTTCCCCTGATTCTTTCGACAAGCAGACTTTTCAGGCAACGTTTTTGATACAGGCTCATGGGTTCAGCATATTTTTTTTTAATTTAAATGTCTTCAGAGATTACAAGTAGAATAGGCCTTAACCCATTTTGTATTGAAATCAGGTTTCATTTGAAAGAGGTTTATTTTTTTTTAAATGTATAATAGATCTATTATTTTTTTAAAAATACACCGTGTCTCATGATGTATACATGGAACTTGGCTAGGTGCGATACTGCGGCCTCTCCACATTGCTGTTCTGCTCTCTCTCAAAAGTTGGGTATGTCAGCCACAGCCCTTTCTATCTCTTCCCGGCCTTATGTAGCCCCTGCCCTAATCCTGACTTTCCCTCCTTCCCTGTATTAATTCTATAAACCCTCACTAAATCCTGTGTTCGTTTTCTCTCTCTCTTCAGTGTGTATGTGGGTCATTGCTCTGTGCACCATCATGGTTTAAGGGTGCACAGATTGCAAGCAACCCATCAGGGCTGCTATTTAAATAGCTTTTGTTGCACCTCCTGGCATAGTCCATTCTCTTAGTACAATTAATTTTTGAGCACCTGGTGCAGACCTTTAGCATTTTCAGGAGTTCACGGGGACACCTAACTGGGTGCCTGTGCTCAAGCCATTGGCTGCTCAGTTAGCTTGGGTGTGGACCAGTCACCATCTTTCAGCCTCCTGGATGGCACCCAAGTGACTATTTGCTGCTGCCCAAGCTTTTGAAAATGTTGGGCATTAAACTTTTCTTTTGTCTGTGCTTTTTCACTCATCTGTAAAATGGAGATAATACCTACCTACCTCAAAGGGAGGCAGTGAGGGTTAGTTACTTAATATTTCTTCAGTGCATTGACATCATAAAGTGAAATTATGGGGAGATAAGACTCAATAGTTGAGGTTGCAACAATCTTCTAATGTAAAGTTCAGCTTTAGCTGCAATAGGTTGCCCGCCTGGAGAATTGATTGGGGACATTGGAAATGATCAGATTTAACCTGAAGGCAAATGTGGAAGAAAAATCCATCAAACTATTCTTGAGATACAGGTTATTTAAAAAAATAAATAAATAGCCTAATTTGAATTTTGTACTTCATGCTTATTTGTCTTTCCCCATGTTTAGAACTGGCTGGCTGCTTTACTACCACTTCAGATTCTTCAGTATTGTGCCCCCTTAAATTGCATACTGTTTTCATTTGAAGAAAATAGGTTGTAATTTGTGGCAGTTTTTGTTGTGGGTGGCTAGAGACCCCCCCTTTGTTCCCACTGATTCAGGATCTGTGTGCTTGTGTATGCGAGTGGGAGAACATGTCCTCTTCCATCAGCTGTTTGCAGCACAGAAAGAACTCGAGACCTCCTATGGCTGATCTTTTAGCTCAAATAGTTGAGGACTGTTCCTTGGAGTTCTGTAATATAATGGAAACTAATTGTAAGTAGAGTGACTGCTAGCAGGCACCACTAATTAGGTGCAGCCTTCAAATGCTGGGGTGTTGCCAATGAAGCTCTAGATATTGCAAAAATTGTCTACCACTGGTTATATCCTAAAGCATGAAGATTATTAGTTCTTCTGATTACACCTTAATTGTTTCACTAGTGCTATAAAAAGGAGTAACTGCTGTTTTTAAAAAGCTAAAGGATAAAGATTAACTTGAGTTTCAATGCAATGGATATTTAGAAAGAAGAAAGCAATGTTTAATTTTGGGATGGTGACACGTTACTATGGACCTAGAAGCCATCTTGGGCTATAAGTGGAGATAAGAACATATTTGCTAATACTGTTCATTTTTTATGTAGCAACTTCTTATATCTTCAGAACTGGAGCTAAAATTATACCTTCCCTAAAACATGGATTCAAGTGATTTGAACTATTATTGTATTAAAAATATCATCACTCAAATAACTGATGTGATTCACCACTTAAATACTTTTTTTGGCATTACTCTGTCTCGAGAATTTTAATATGCAGTTAGTATGTCAGCTATTTAACTAACCAAGCCAACTGTTCTTTTATCCAAAAATGTTTCTGTTAGAAATGTCTTCAGGGGCTCGAAGGTTTATAGTTGAAACAAAAATTGATTGGAACGTAAGAGAGAGGAGAAGCCTCTGGTTTTTTACACTCCAGATTCAATAAGATTGTACTAGTGTTGTTACTTTGCTCCGCTAACATTATTGACTTGCTCAGCTACAAGGTTTGGCACCAGATCATTTTGACACAGATGAGTTTCTGTTTAGTGCCGCATTATTCACACCGACGTTACTGACTTCCTTCTGCACCATTTTATATGATCAAAATCTGTAACCTGGTGCCTCTTGGCAAACCTGTGCTGCATCAAGTTTCCCAAGTCTTGAAAATCTCCTAATATGTCATAAAGCCCCTGAGCCAGGTAGCTACACAAGAGAATCAAATTTCACTTCCAAAAATGTTTATAACCCTCATGATTGCACAAAAAAGCATGAAAATGTAAAAATGTAACCACAACCTTGTGGTTGGCAACAGTGGAAGGCTTAGAACTTGGATCTAACTATGCCCCTTTATTCAGAGACCAATCCCACCCTGTCCCATGTGGTGCATTGTGGGGTTTTGCATACCCACAGCCGGTGCATGAAGAAACACTCCAAGACCAAACCTGTACATCTACCCTCTGCGCCATGTGCTAACTCCTAACTTACCCCTCTGCTTCTCAAATGTGTGGCCATAATGGCAAGAAGGGGGTCTGATGTGGACTGAATCTGGGGATACCGGTGGGCAGGCATCTTTGTAACATATCTGTGTCAGCAGGGATCCAGGATTAGGTATGCGTGTATTCATGTATAATTTTGCGTGCGGGGGATGGGGGAGGTGTGATTCATTGTCTTTACTTATGGCTATCCAGAAAAAACTGCCTCTGCACTCTCTCGGAGCTAGAGGAAGTGGCACAGGGCCAAAAGAGTGGGACGCCCTACACAATCCTGGTCCCTAGAATTCAATGGGTTTGCTGCTTTGGGCAAAACCTCTTGGCTGTTTCAGGATCTGACCCGTAGCAATGTAGCATTAAATGTTTGCCTTTAATCTTTACAAGGTTTCTAACGGTCCTTTTCACATACCCTGTATAGGGGAAAAAAGGAATCTTCCCTCACACTGCCACAACCAGGGTTTTATACTGTCATAGTCACATGGACAGCAAAGACCAAGTGTATTCTGACAGGTATAATATGTTGAGTTTGGAGTTGCCTGTTTTGAGTGATTTTCCTCTCATTGTTACAAAGATGGCACTATTAATACTGCAACTAATGGCATTAAGAGTTTAGAGGATGGCTGCAGATCCTGATTGTCCAAAAGCACACTCTGATCGATTGGATGGGGGTGTCTCTTGATGCAGTTGTGCCCCAGCTCACAATGGTGTACAAGTGAGACCTCCTCACTAAAATAAACGTGCTCACAAATCTTCATGCCCTTCTAAGGGGGGTCAGGGAAACATTCAGGGAGAAAAAGAACAATAAAGCAACCTGGGGAGAGGAAAAAGTGACCCAACTGAGACTACCTGCTCTCACATACTAGGTGTGGCCTCTTCAACTACTTCATTTTTTACAGTAAAAATGAATTTAAACTGGGGACTAACTGTTCAGTATTCCAAATTGTTTCAGAATAGCAGGAACTAGTAGCACGATCTCTTAAGGTTGCCTGGCAGTTCCTAATATAAGACACTGTTTTTAATTGCTTTTACCTTTATCAAACCTTAACCATTTGGGCTAAAATGTTCCATGTGAGGTAGGTGTCTCAGGCTGAACATTTCTGGAAAACTTCACCCAAAAGGGCTCGGGTATTTCTGAGAATGAGGCTAGGAAAAATGTTGGTTTTGCACGTTAAATTGTTGAGATTTTTTTCTTTGAAAAGTTCTAGTGGCCATGCTTTAGGGCAGGGACTTGAAATATAGCAAGGAGGTGGCTGGTGTCAAGGATGTCCCTTTTGCTATCCCTGTGAAAATCTACCCAAATGTAGCCAAGGCATAAGGCTTGGCCGAATTCAATTTTTATTTTTTTCATGGTGTGGATAGGTTATATCAGTTGATTTCTAAGCAATCTTTTTTTTTTTTTAAAGATTTTTATAGATGTAAATGTTCACCATTGTGATCTGACCCCCTCCCATTTTCCACAATTGACAGTAGATGTTGAGAATCAAAAAGCTGAAGCTTTAACTGTTAAAACACAAATTGCCAACATCATATGTCAACATATAAAAAGTAAAACTGTGTTCTCAGGCAAAGAAAGAGAGAGTGGTATTTTATCTGTAAATTTCAATGATCATCAATGAAAATATTGTTTGTTTGGTGTATACACAGTGAAATGGATGTTTACCAATTAAATCTAATCCATCCCAGCCTAGTTCTAAGCCTTTGAAAAATCACAGTTCACATGTTCAGACTTCAGAGATTTTTGTCTATTAACATTAAAGATTCCATGCACATTGAGCATGCTCCAGCCTCTCATGGCTCCCATTGCTGATCAGATGGCATCTGTGCCATCCCCACAGAACTGAGCATGCTCGGGTCTCCAGCATCAAAGCTGAATTTTCCCTCTAATTAATCCTCCAGGTTGGGGTCAGGCTGGGCAGCTGCTTTCAAGAGCAGGGAGCCTGTGACACTCCCCTCCCCCAGTCTGTGCCCAGGCAGTGGTGGGGGACGAGAAAGATGCCCGATTTGAAAGCAGAGGGGACAAACAGCAGACTTGGGAGAGGAAAAGGAGATTGGGACTGCAGAAGGGGAGACAAACTGACTGAGAGTTTGGGGAGGGGGAGCGTTGGGACTAATTGGGCAAGGACACTAAGACCTGGTGAGGGAAATGGGGTGGACAGGAGGAGAGAAAGGAACTGTGAGGCAGTTGGCTGGGTCATGGGTAGAAATACTGAGATCTGAGGAGGAGGTGGGGGAAAGACTGGGACTGTTTGGACAAGGAGACTGGGCCTAGGAAGTCGTGTGGGAGGGAAGAAAGATGTGACAAGGCACTGGACTGTGGGGGGAGAACTGGGACTGCCAGGACAAAAAGCCGGGAGGTGGTGGGAGACAGATTAGATGCTGAAGGGAGACACGGACTGGAAGCCAGGGAAGGGGAGAAGGAAGGGAGGAACTGGGACTGGCTGGGCAAGGAGACTAGGACAAGGAACCAGAGGTGTGGAAGAGACAAGACAGGGACAGTTTGGAGGGGGTGGAGCTGATCCAACTGTGACCTCCTCCTAGCAGAAGGGGTCACACTTGATGGAATGGGGAGAAGTCTGTACCTATGAGAGACCACTCACCACCAGGACCTGGAATGGAACCCAAAGTTCCTGAGTCTCACCCTTTCTCTACTGCCAACAAAGAGCTGTGAAATCCCCTATGTCTATCCCCCTCAAGTGCTGGTCCACAAAGAGGATGATAACCTACTACTGCTATCAATTACTCCAGACAGAGAACGAGGGGAGGGGGCTATAAAAAGCTTCCTATTTTGATTTTATATATATCCATATACGCACACTTTTTCCCATTTACTAAGAACCTTTTCATAGGGGCAGGTTACAGGGTAAAATTTCAGTGAGACTTAAGTGCAGTCAAATTTTAGTTGGATGCCTAAAATCATGCATTTAAAAACAAACGAAATGTAAAACCAAGGTAGCCCATTCTGCTAGCAAAACGTCAGGCCAGGGTATGCCTACTGCTGTTGATGTACTTTTGCGTGTGAGTGAAAGCACAAGGCTGTATACAGCAGAGGTACTGAATCACGTGATCCAGAACTACTTCAGTCCAAGAAGAAATTAAACTCTTACACACACGTACAGCATGCTGGAGAAACACCAGAGGTGAAACAAATCGTGTGTGTGTATGAGGAGGGAGATCCTGGATGCTGTTAGAGAACTGGAGGTGATGGGAAGCAGCTAGCCACTAAAGAAATGGTACGCCATGATCTGCAAGTGGGGTGTTTTTTTTTTGTTTTTAAATAGGAAAATTACCCACTAATTACCATAGATTTGTTGGCGTCATATCTTACACTACTGGTGTGTTCAATAATAAGCAGATGCAGCGCTGGGAAAACAATACAAGGAAACCACCTCTGCATCTTGTTTAGCAACTTAATTGGAGTTAGTGTATACTACTAGCAAGATGCAAAAATGACAACTCTCTCTTTATCTGTATATTATGCCATTCTTTGAGCCTGAGCCATTGTATCTAGATCTGATAGCTTCAGGACCTTTCTCCCCAACAGCAATGCCTATTTTTCTCTCTCATCCGCTTTCACAATGTGTCACCAAGTTGCTTATAAGTGAAAGCAGTATACTCTGGCCCTCAGCACCAGCTCTGAAAACAGATGGGATCCACCATGCACTGCTCAGGTAGTAGCACTCTGACTTCTGGGTTAGCAGCTCCTGGGTTCAAGACCCACCCCAGGCTATCCAAGCTGGAGATGGTGGTAGTCGGGAAGCACTGCACTGTTGGAGGTGAAATCCTTCCATTGAAATGTTACAGGGAGATGCCTTTGGTGGTGTATCTTTTTGAAAGTTGGATTCCATGGCACTGTTTGCAGAGAGTAGGGGACAAGCTATCGGGGGGAGGGATAGCTCAGTGGTTTGAGCATTGGCCTGCTAAACCCAGGGTTGTAAGTTCAATTCTTGAGGGGGCCATTTGGGATCTGGGGCAAAAATCGGGGATTGGTCCTGCTTTGAGCAGGGGGTTGGACTAGATGACCTCCTGAGGTCCCTTCCAACTCTGATATTCTATGATTCTAAGTTATGTTCACTTGCAGCACAATGGATTTGGACATTACAGACTGTTGCTAAGGACAGAGTGGCTGCTGAGTCAGTGTACACTCACTGCGATGCTTTGGGTTACCTGGAGCATGAAAAGTATTTATATGCAGCCACGATCCATTCTGTCATATCCTAGTGTTTTTAAAATCTAACTCAGCTACGTAGATGGTATAGCTAAGCTTTGAATTGGATTCCTAGACAAGCTGGTGGATATATGTCTGGAATCAATAGTGAGGCAAATATGCAGTTGCTAATCTGACACACCTGAGTAACCTCAATCAAATCTTGGTGTGGAGGCAGGAACCCCGGCAATAAATTCAAAGTGGCAGAAACATAAGCTAAACACAACAAGCTTTGAATCCAATAGTTGTTTTGCAAGAAATGCCTCTTTTTTTTTTTTTTTTTATGTTGTTGCTCTCTCAGCTGGTAACTAGCTGACAAAATACAAAAGGCTGTTAATTCTAGAGTTCAGCACACACGAAAAACAACACTGCTTTCCTTTGGCTACACACAGGATTTTTTTGTCTAATACTTTGAGTGCAATATGTCTCTTAAAATTAAAGATGAGCAACGCTTTATAGAAGCAACAGTTCTTCAAACCAAGGGTATAGGTACCAAGTACTGTACTTCAGGTTTTTGTAACAGATGCCCTAAACTACCGTGCCCTGTGTTAGCTAGGAACCTCACTGCTGCTGCTTGCACTCTTGGCTTTGACATTAGGAGTAGCCCAAGTTCCAGTGGCTGTTAGAAGACACAGCTGGATGTTGTAGGCAGTGTACACAGGCTAATAAAGCCAATGGCTTAGCCTGGCAAACTGGTATATTTAGTCCTGAAAGGGTGTGAACCACTGGTCTGAAGTTTTTATAGCAGTCTAACAAGGGGCTCTGTTGTGGCTTTGAGCCACAGACCTGCATTGGGGGTGCAACCAACAGTCTTTCAGGGGTGGTAGTTTCCCTGCATACCCATAGGTGCTGGAGCGAGGGGTGCTGGGGGTGCTGCTGCACCCCTGAGCTTGATGTGGACTCCATCATATACAGGGAAGATATGTATATGATGGAATCCACGTCATGTATGTATATTTTGGTTCAGTGGCTCTTGCATCCTCGCTATAAAAATTGTTCCAGCCCCCCTGGGCTAGGGCTGTACCCCAACCCCACCTTTGAGATGGCTGGGGCACTAAGGGGTATTAGCAGGGAGCAGCCCTGGGCATCGGGAGTACAAGGACTGTGCTTGTGCCTGTCATCTGAGGTCACTGGGGAAGGAGGCACAAGCAGGGAGGCATTTTACACCTTCCTCACCACTTGCACTCCCAAACCTTGGCCAGCTGCAATCTGACACTTCAGAGACTCTTCAGTTGCTGCTACTTGTCACCATTTAAACAATGAACTGTACCCCCCTCATCCTGGGTGCTCCGGCTGTTGGTTCATCTTACCTAGGTCAAGATTGCGACCATCCTCTGTGTGGGCGTGAGAGACCATGGAGAACACATAATGCTTGTTCTCACTGGACTACTTTGCCGAGGCTCGCGAACAGCTGGAGAGCCTTCTGTGCTGCAAGGGGGTAGTGGTCCCTCAGTGCATGCCCAGAGGTACACTTCATCTCAAAGGGAGGTGTGAGGAGTCAGGGCAATAGCTGCACCCCAGCAGGCTCTGGTAGGATGCTGCATATCCTAAGAGTGCCCCCTACCTAGCGTGGGATAGGGTGGCTCCACACTGCCCCCACTGCAGGCCTGTGCCTAAACGGTATGATCGAGCCCTTAATGAAAACAGGTATTCTCCCTTTTCACAAATGCTTTATGGACCAAATCCTGGCTGTGTTTTACTCGATCGAAACACCCATTGATGGCGGTAAGTTTTGCCTAAGCAAAGCAACGCAGCATTTAGCCTTGTAGTATGATCAGTGAGTGATGTTTTAGGCTCCGATCCCGCAAAGACTTATGAATGAGCTTAATTTTAAGCATATAAGTGGTTGACTAAGACTACTTGTGTCTTAAAGCTAAGCAGCTGCATAAGTCTCTATACAGGATTGGGGCCATACGGAATCTCTCCTTTTCTAGCACAACATTGACCCCAGAGAATCTGTCTCTTTACAGCTTACCTTTGTATCAGTCGCACCTTGCCATGTATGTGTATGTCTTTCCTAAACACAACAAATGTCTCTCTTTAGAAGTCTTATCAATTTATATATATTTTAAAAAAAATCTCTTTTCAGGTTCAGTGTTAGAAGACCAAATACTCTGTCATTGCTTGCATTGCACAAGCTTCTGAAATGCTTTCTTGAAGTCTTCATTAAAGATTGTATAGATTAGCGGGTTAATAAGAGAATTGATGTATCCCAGCCATGTCAGGAAATTGGACATTTCTTCTGAAATGTGACATCTTTCACAGGTGTTAACAACAACTTCCTTTACAAAAAAGGGGAGCCAGCAGATCACAAATGCGCCCAAAATCAAGCCCAGGGTAGTTGCTGCCTTTCTTTCTCTCGTGCTGGAGATTCTTTGTTTTTTCCAGGTTTTCTCTTGTTTGGCCTCTGACTTAGGGCTTCGCAATGTGGTATGGATTTTATCCAAGTCTGTCGAGGGATCAGATGTTTTATCTGTTGTGTAGTGCGTCAAAGCCAATTTGGTGCTTCTCTCACTCGGTTCCAAGAGGACTTGTCCATTTACCTCCTCTCTTACAATGCGGCTTACGCTCCTTCTGTGAAATGTCTTTGCTGCTTTGTAGATTTTATAATAAAGGATCAGAATCAATGCCAGTGGGATGTAAAAGGCTCCAAATGTGCAGTAAATAGTGAAAGCTATGTGGTCGTGTTTGATGATGCATTCGTCATCTTTGCTGGTTGTCTGGTGCCTCCAGAACAAAGGAGGCATAGAGATAAAAATGGATATGATCCACACCACTGCAATCATGATGCCTGCATGTTTTGGTGTTCTTTTCCTGGCATACTCCACAGCATCTGTGATTGCTCGGTACCGATCCAAAGCAATAGCAGAGAGATGCAAGATAGAACAGGTACAGCACATAATGTCAACGCTCAGCCAAACGTCACACATTATTTGTCCCATGATCCAGGTCTCCTTCACAATATACACAATGCTGAAGGGCATCACTAGGACTGCAACTAGAAAATCAGTGACTGCAAGGGAGCAGATTAAATAGTTGGCAGGGTGATGGAGCTTCTTTGTCACAATTATTGCAGTCATCACCAGAGAGTTGATGGCCGTTGTCATTAGTGCCAGCACAGAAAGAGTAAATGAAACAAGAATCTTTGATGTCACTGTTTTAAACAGTTCTTCTGATGTGTAATTTTGTTCAGTTGAGTTTATGGGATCCATGTTTCCTTTTAAAGGTGACGTTTAACCAAGGAAGACACCTGTGGAAAAGGAAACACAATTCAGAAAGTGTGCCCATAAGGGTCTTCAGGAAAGGCAACAGGCAACATTTTAGAAGGTGCCTAAGTCCCAGTTACAAAAGCGACATAGGAATCTGTCTGTCTACACTGGAGCTAGAAGGTCTGATTGAGTGTAGCTGTGGTGGCAGGAGCAGCTAACTGCCCTGAGCACAATCCCAACCAAGACCAGTGGTCCTTACTTGAGCGGCTACCTCTTCTACCGCTGCAGATACGCTTCTATTTTTAGCTTGATCAGAGAGAGAGGAAATGTCTTTGCAAACTGGAAATGACACCTTCCAGCTCAGGTGCAGATATGCCCAATGTCCCATGGAAAGCCCCATAGGTTTTCTGAGCTCAGACATAAACCATACCCTCACATAAAAGTAAACAAGGATTGGTTTACACACTATTAGAAGTTGTGCAGGAGAAAATTTAGGAAGGAAAATATATTGCACTTAAATACTAAGAAAATACATTTTAAAACCTACTTTAGGCTAGGTACAGTTTTCAAAAGTACCTAAATTATGAACAGAAAATTGGCATATGTATGTATAGTTCATACTTTAAACACAATGATTCATCTCTCCCTTTAAAAATATATAAACTCCCAATTTATTTTAAATGAACAGAAACATTTTTCCTTCACCATCACACCAGTATTATGTTAATACCTTCTGAAGCAATGGTAATTAGCAGGAGAAATATTATGGGGATAGTAATCTTTTAGGGACTTACTAGTGAAATAAAATGTAGTTATTTTAGTTGAACAAAACTCATTTAATTGCTTTTAAGAACAGTTTTCTCAATATATTTCTTGGTGAAAAGATTTGAGAGAATCTGGCTTGATGATGTCCAGCAGCTAGTCTTACCTTAGAAAGCTTTAACTATCCAACATAGTCAATTATCTTATGCATTTCAGACTGCCTGATATTATTACTAAATTACCAGCTCGCAAAAAGCAATTTGTAAGTAATGAAACTTGAGTAACTGGTTTGGAAAGGTAGGGCAGGCTTTATGTAGGAGCCAGTGGAGCATGAGCGAGCTCTATCATTAAGAAAAGTGGCATAGGTAGATTCACAGAAATGGAGTCTGGGTTTTTTTAGATGACAGGCTGTGCATTCCTCCGGCTAGATTTGCACTGAGAACATACTGCAGGAGCTTTATGGGAGAATAACGACCATATGTCTCCTTACCAAAACAGCACTGTATATGCTTTTCTACTGGTCCCGTCTTGCACAGGCGTATGTGGATAGTTTAATACCTGCTAGTTTCTACAACACTACAACAGCCCTCCTACTACACTCGTGGTGCATATATACACCTTCTTGGGAGTCTTCTCTTCTGTTTAGAGAGGCATCTTCTCAGCTATGCTAAGGTCTGTCCTTTTCCTGTTGTCCTTCTGGCAATTTACCCATTGTTTGTACTTGGTGATTTATAAGCTCTGTTATGGTTGAACTGCACTTCCATTAGAGCACTATGAATACCAGTCCAGATGTTGCTGTTGCACAACTAGGGTGTGCCAGCTAATCTAGCAGCATCTGAGACAATGCGTCCTGGCAGTAAGAACTAGATTTGCCTTCCAGCTGGTGACTTCCAGCTATAGGTTAGAGATCCATCCACCTGCTCATGCCACGTGGGGTTGGATCTTTTGAAAATACCAAGCTCTGCAGGCAAGGCTTCTTGGATTTCCTAGCGTACTAGGCTGGTGAACCTGTTGTTGTGGAAACTGAAAACGAGTTACACCATCTATTTGGTTCAAACAGTCTGAAGCCCTTTATTGAATAAAAGCATGCAGGGAGGAGGAGACAGATGGTCACATGCAGGTGCCACCCTGGTGTCTCTCTGCCCTGCCCCTATAATACCAGACTTATATAGGTCCAAATTCAAGCCAAATGATACATTTCCTTACCACTCAAGCATTATAAATAAAGCCTTATAAGGAATTAACAGAAGGGCAGTTTCATAACTGATGCACTGTATCATGAACAAGGTCAGCTCCCAGACTGCTGCACTGAGCAGCACAGCATGGGGAGGAGGTGACCAGCCCTCTGTGGAGAAAGAAGTGGTTCAGGACTATTTAGAAAAGCTGGACGAGCACAAGTCTATGGGGCCAGATGCGCTGGATCCAAGAGTGCTAAAGGAGTTGGCGGATGTGATTGCAGAGCCATTGGCCATTATCTTTGAAAACTCATGGCGATCCGGGGAAGTCCCGGATGACTGGAAAAAGGCTAATGTACTGCCCATCTTTAAAAAAGGGAAGAAGAAGGATCCTGGGAACTACAGGCCAGTCAGCCTCACCTCAGTCCCTGGAAAAATAATGGAGCAGGTCCTCGAAGGAATCAATTCTGAAGCACTTAGAGGAAAGTGATCAAGAACAGTCAGCATGGATTCACCAAGGGCAAGTCATGCCTGACTAATCTAATTGCCTTCTATGACGGGATAACTGGCTCTGTGGATGAGGGGAAAGCGGTGGACGTGTTGTTCCTTGACTTTAGCAAAGCTTTTGACACGGTCTCCCACAGTATTCTTGCCAGCAAGTTAAAGAAGTATGGGCTGGATGAATGGACTATAAGATGGACAGAAAGCTGGCTAGATTGTCGGGCTCAATGGGTAGTGATCAATGGCTCCATGTCTAGTTGGCAGCCGATATCAAGTGGAGTGCCCAAAGGGTCGGTCCTCGGGCCAGTTTTGTTCAATATCTTCATAAATGATCTGGAGGATGGTGTGGATTGCACCCTCAGCAAGTTTGCAGATGACACTAAACTGGGAGGAGAGGTAGATACGCTGGAGGGTAGGGATAGGATATAGAGGGTCCTAGACAAATTAGAGGATTGGGCCAAAAGAAATCTGATGAGGTTCAACAAGGACAAGTGCAGAGTCCTGCACTTAGGACGGAAGAATCCCACGCACTGCTACAGACTAGGGACCAAATGGCTCGGCAGCAGTTCTGCAGAAAAGGACCTAGGGGTTACAGTGGACGAGAAGCTGGATATGAGTCAACAGTGTGCCCTTGTTGCCAAGAAGGCCAATGGCATTTTGGGATGTATAGGTAGGGGCATTGCCAGCAGATCGAGGGACGTGATCATTCCCCTCTATTCGACATTGGTGAGGCCTCATCTGGAGTACTGTGTCCAGTTTTGGGCCCCACACTACAAGAAGGATGTGGAAAAATTGGAAAGAGTCCAGCGGAGGGCAACAAAAATGATTAGGGAACTGGAACACATGAGTTATGAGGAGAGGCTGAGGGAACTGGGATTGCTTAGTCTGCGGAAGAGAAGAATGAGGGGGGATTTGATAGCTGCTTTCAACTACCTGAAAGGGGGTTCCGAAGTGGATGGATCTAGACTGTTCTCAGTGGTAGCTGATGACAGAACAAGGAGTAATGGTCTCAAGTGGGGGAGGTTTAGGTTGGATATTAGGAAAAACTTTTTCACTAGGAGGGTGGTGAAACACTGGAATGCGTTACCTAGGGAGTTGGTGGAATCTCCTTCTTTAGATATTTTTAAGGTGAGGCTTGACAAAGCCCTGGCTGGGATGATTTAGTTGGGGATTGTCCTGCTTTGAGCAGGGGGTTGGACTAGATGACCTCCTGAGGTCCCTTCCAACCCTGATATTCTACGATCTATGATTATCAAGATCTGCGGCTTCCTGTGGCAGTGTTTTGACTAGAGACTTTTTCAGGGTTGAGGGTGCATATAATGGACTGCTAGGGACTCTTCTGGAGGCCCTTTTGGTTCTTTTCTAGTTAGAGATTGGCCTCGTTCATTATCTGGGTCAAGTGCCACAGCCTGGCACACGTAAATGCTTTAGCTTAAGCCAAGTCTTAGAGGATACAGGCCTGTAGGCCTCTTGCGTTACAGCTTTTGCATATGTTGCATACAGTGCATAGATTTTGCCGCAGAATGGGATGGGGTCAGTTTCAAGATACCTGCCTCAGAATAGTCAATAGTCTAGTGGTTAGGGCACTGAGCTGGGAGAGCCAGGTTCAAAGTCCCTGCTCTTAATCAGGCAGTGCAGGGACTTGGGATGTGGAAGAGCCAGATCCCAGGTGAGTGCCCTAGGCTATTGGTGATTCTGGGTTGGATGTCTCCTCTCACTTGCAGCAGGAATTCCATCCTGGAACTGAGACACCTTCCTGATAATTTCATTGAAATAGAGAGGCTTTCATGAAACATAGTTTTGATGTTAGAGGTTTTTAAGGCCCGGCTTGACAAAGCTCTACTTGGGATGAGTGAGTTGGGGATTGGTCCTGCTTTGAGCATGGGATTGGACTAGATGACCTCCTGAGGTCCCTTCCAACCCTGATATTCTATGATGAATCTGCATTCTCCAGGAAGGAAAAATTCCTGACCTCCTCTGACACTATTTTCATTCTCCCACCCTTTCCTATCTATATAGTCCTTGCCCTGAAAAGTGTACGCTACCTACCACAATGAAGCTAATCTCAGTTGGTGTTTCTAGATGCTTTAATTTTACTGAACATAGGGCTAAGTGCAGACTTTGTTGTTACTGCAATGGGATCACACTTGTGTGAGTAGTCAACTTCAACTTCCAGGTCTCTGCATGAAAATTTATCAGAGTGCAGAGGCTGCATGCAAGGCCCTATTTATGACATAGGCCCTTACACAATATACAGAGCATTTTATAGGAGCCTCTTCATCTGTGGATGAGTCAAAACAAACCATCTGTGTTCATGCTGTATTGAAGAGGGTTCACATGGTAAAAGTGATTACGGAGACAGTAAAGCAACACACTCTATGTACTTATACAAAACTATTTTCAAAATCCAAGCTTCTTGCAAGCTTGACAAAAGTGGCCTTGAACTCCATGCTTTGAGAGGGGGACTAAGGTTACAGTATCCATTAGTCAATGGTATACTAGCTGCATGGAGAGATTTTTCACATATAAGGAACTGTGTTCCATTTTTAAAGGGCAAGGGTATAAGACAATAGCAGATATTTGAAAGACTTACAGCATCTGCT